GTTGGGGGCAATGCGACTAAAACAGTAATTGAAATTCAGGACACTATTTTTTAAAACGCGTTGCTTGAATAAAACTAACCAGACACATTCAATTTACCAGACTATTGAACAACTAGGAAAAGTGAAAAAAATACTTCTTATCGCCAGCATAAATGCGTAATTTTTTTTTTACAGAAAAAGTAATTTTTCACCTTTGATTGAGTAACGCGTCGTAGAATGCAGATACGGGCATGCAAAATACACTTGTGAAAAGCTTGAAGTCTGGCGATTCTAAAAATATATACTTTCCCGGGTCTATTTGTAGTCATTTAGTCACAATTAGAAGATGAAAACAAGTATGCAAATAATAGTCCCGCTACCTTAAGTAGTTAATTGTACTATGTTAGCGTCACTTTCAAAGCAAACGGTAAGCATGGGTTATGAATAGTAATTAAATGTCAAGATATCAAAGCATATTAAGTAGTTAATTGTACTATGTTAGCGTCACTTTCAAATCAAACAGTAAGCATGGGTTATGAATAGTAATTAAATGACAAGATATCAAAGCATATTAAGTAGTTAATTGTACTATGTTAGCGTCACTTTCAAAGCAAACAGTAAGCATGGGTTATGAATAGTAATTAAAAACTCTGTCAAGATATCAAAGTATATGTAGATAGTTGTACTACATTAGTGTAACGTGTAACTTTCAAAGCAAATAGTAATCATGTGGTATGAATAGTAATTAAAAACTCTGTCAAGATATCAATTGAAAGTATATGTAGATAATTGTACTATGTTAGCGTCACTTTCAAAGCAAATAGTAAGCATGTGTTATGAATAGTAATTAAAAACTCTGTAGATTATTGTTTATGAAAGTCAACAATATCTTGTCTAAAGTTTTAAGAAATATCATGTAAATGGGCATCAAGTGGTCCTCTGAACCACAGTCAGCTGGCGCACACATGATAATAAAATAAATACGATATTTACTATATGGGGGCCGCCATCTTGAATGACGCATAAAACTAAATAAGAGACAAGTTGTGAAACGCGTTTTTCAGATTCCTACAAATCAGGACAAAAACACCAATCTTTCACAAAAATACGGTCCGTTAGGGTTATATTAAGCCAACCGATAACAAAATTCGGCCGAATTCGTCGTTTTTGTGTGGAAAAATCCCTTGCATACGAACACCTAATTACGCGAAGAACCTAGAACACTAAGCCGGGGTATTTGAAACTAAAAATTGGCATTCCAGCACAGCAGCCAATCAGCGACGGCCTAACGCTTAGATGACAATTTCGGTTTCAAATACCCCAATTTCATACTGTGTCAGTACATACATTTTGTATGGATAACTTTGCTATTTATTGTAGGAATTCGTACAGTTGAATGAGATAAATTGAAAGGTAAAAAGTCAGTCACTATTAGTCTGCGCTTCTGTTGAGGTTGATTTGAACCAGCTTGTTCTAATCGAATAACGAACTCAAAGAGCGCATAGCAAACCAGTCATTAACTTAGCTAGCAATGTTGCTGTTCAGAACAATATGGCGGTGACAGTAATGTATTTGATAAAGAATAAGGACAACTGATGCTGATACTGATGCTGATTCAAAGTGTTTTTGTCATCTTTTTCTAGTTTGTTCCTTTACACAACACTTTTGACTCATTTCGCTTCACATACAGTTTCAATTAAATCATACTTTGCCCTGATCACTGACAATTCAAACTTTATAGTTTTTCAAATAATTCTTACCCGGAGACAAAAGAACCAGATTCCAATCTTTCGGATTCCAGCCATGGATGCAAACACAAAATACAATAGTATACCGCACATTAAAACATAGTCCAAAGGAAAGACCTAGAAAAATGAAAAAGATTTTTACTTAAATTGCAGTAGACAACAATTTTATTATAAATAAATTACTGGTTAGCTAAATTATCTTCTTCTTAAATTAGCAAATTACAGGGCAGCTTAATTAGCTTCATATTGGATTAGCTAAATTAGCTTCATTTTTATTTAGTAAAATTATAGAGTAGCAAAATAGCTTCATCTTGAATTAGCAAATTACAAGGTAGCTAAATTAGCTTCATCTTGAATTAGCAAATTACAGGGTAGCTAAATTAGCTTCATCTTGAATTAGCAAATTACAAGGTAGCTAAATTAGCTTCATCTTGAATTAGCAAATTACAAGGTAGCTAAATTAGCTTCGTCTTGAATTAGCTAAATTACAAGGTAGCTAAATTAGCTTCATCTTGAATTAGCAAACTACAAGGTAGCTAAATTAGCTTCATCTTGATTAGCAAGTTACAGGGTAGTTAAATTAGCTTCATCTTGAATTAGATGAATTACAGGGTAGTTAAATTAGCTTCATCTTGAATTAGATGAATTACAGGGTAGCCAAATTAGATTCACCTTAAATTAGCAAATTACAAGGTAGCTAAATTAGCTTCATCATTGGATTGGAGCCAGTACAAGTCATTCATGGGTGCATAGCACTTCATTATGTATTTCTATGTATATTAAACAGTGCAGTGTGTTTACTCACCTCCTGTGAATAAACCAATATAACATCCAGTGGATTGGGTAATGTCTTGTTAGGTAGCAGATATCCAGTCTTAGGTCCCAAAGAATGCATTAATTTATCAATACTAAAAATAATACAAACAAATTGTAAACTTTCACTTTGTCATCATCAATAAATTATTATCACCTTCCACAAAACAGATTTCTTCTACAAAACTGACACCATACTGTAAACCACTATTTTTTGCAAATATAACAAGCAAGTGAAAGTGGCTATGTTTGCAATGTAGCAGTTACATTTCATTGAGTGCTGAGAGCTATGACCACATAGGCTTTCAAACTATCATATTATTATCAACATTATTCGCTGTATCTAGTAGATGAATGGTAAGCCTGTGGTACAATTATTTTGGCTTTGAAGTGCAAATAATCTTTGTTGTATGCACTATACACATTATGCATGATTTCTATCTATGCACAGTTTCCTTAGTTTTATAAGTGAGGCTTAGTGAT